TGTAGTTGTCCATAAATGGAAGTGATACAGACAGCAACACCCTACTGCTTTGATCCTCGATGGAAAGCAGAAATATAATATCTATCAGCATATGATATTACTAATTTTAGAAAGAAGTGGCGATAATGTGGCTTTGCGCTTGTCTGCCGCGGGGGAACGCACCCTTTTGGTACTTGCTGTAAATCACCTTCACCAAAAATTTCGGATCACAAAGAAGAAACGAACAGGTTTTTCAATGCGACCCTGATCATTCACATGAATGAGGTACGGCCTCCAACAAGATATGGCCAAATATTTTGAAGCTCCTATAAAGGCTGTACATAAGATTATCATACGGTACAAGGAAAAGCCTCGAAAGAGGGAGAATGGTTGGCTAGCAAACGGAAATAGTGACTAGACTTTCCCATCTCCAACTGGCCGCAACTCAGGACGCCCTGCCATGAGAATGGCAACGGAGCCGGACGACGAATTCGTCGATGGGAGAGATAGTCAAAGAGAAGCTACACCTCCACCGCTTCTATGTATTCAAAGCTGATGCACGCTCATCAAAACAAGTAACAGTGTTTCGAAAAATGCAGAAGCTCCAGTTACACACAGTAAACACGCGCATCACTCCTTTCTTCTCTGTGGAATTATTTTCGTAGAGCCATATCTGCAGCAAAATAGCCATTGCATCTCCCGGCCAAGAAATATCTAGTTGCTCTCACACGAAGAGGACACTTGCAGTCGTCACCAAGTCGGACCAAGTGTTGGTTTGCAGAGAATACCCTACGCAGGGATTAGAGAACCGCTGATTTTTCTTTCCACTCTATGAAGCAGCATCAACAACCAATGTACGCTAAGGTGCGTGGACGCCGACACTCGCGCACGCTTCGTCCGGATCCATTCGTGGAAATAAAAGGCGGCGCTTCAAAAGAAACTGCCTGGACAGCCCCACAACCCAAGTCCACCTCACACGGGTCCGCTAGCAGTGCCCGACCTTTTCCAGCAACGAGAATATCTTGTTGACCAAATCAGAAATCGAACCAATTTTTCAGTATGGTCCCTTGCACACTGCAACGTTAACCGTGTATCGCTCCAACCTTAGTCCAAGAAAGTCGACACCTGCACCGTTCTCGCGAGAAAATGCTACGGAAGAGACGTGGACGTAGTGATGACCTTGTGCAATACAATAGCAAGTAAGAACTAACTTCAAGCCTTGCATCGGAGGGCGAATGGAGCAACCATCGCTCGAACTCTGGTTGATTCCACTAACACATTACGTTCCGCGTTACGCCACCATGTGTCCTTCAGAGAGTATAGTAGACAACCTTTTAATTAAAGGCAAAATTCGAGCTTAAACTGATGAGGTAATTCTACTCAAATGTGATGTTGGGGCGGGAGGTGGACCGCCAGGGGAGAAGAAAGGGAAAAAAATCCGTGAAATACACAGGAAATACGACCTTTTTGCTCTACGTTGCAGAGAAGTTCAAAAGGCCCGCAGGGAGATGAGAGATAATGTGAACGCGGAGAGCGGCCGAGAAATCCGAGAAGAGAGAACGAAGCAGATCAGCATTGCGACGCAGACAAAATATCAAGCGGTAGGCGGAGCGTGTCGCAACAGGTGGAGCGTGTCAAAGTCTTTTGCCCATAGCGCCTTAGTGACGCATTTCGATGCGGGAACTTGGCGAGTCGCCTGCAGTTGCGTCCCATGCGCTTCTTGCCACTTTAGGGGCTTATTAGGTGGGTCTGAGCCTGAACTTTGCCTTTAAACTATTCGGTATTGTCCAGTGTCTCTGAACTGTTTGCACTCGTTTTCGAAGCCGTAAAACAATATGAGTCATGATTCATCAAACTTTTGGTAGATTAATGACTTATACCTGAAAAATTCAAGAAAGAGCGGGGATACTCGTACAAGGGCGATCCGCAATAAGTTGAAGGCACGCTCAATTGCTCCATCCCTAAGCGTGGTAGACAACAAGCGTTGATGCTACCCCTTCTGCGGCTTGAAAGTGCGCGACAACGGCGATAGGGCTCGCTCGACCCGCAATCAGGGTCGACCCTATCGGTGTGACTTTCTGAAAAAAATTTACGACCCCCCTCTGCCAAGGTGGATTTGAGACCCCCTTTTCCACACTCGACCACCATCATCTCTTACAGTATATGATCCTGATACCAGTCAACCCACCAAACTCCGCCCACTTTCGCCTCCAAAAATGCCGTCCAGCGAGGGTAAATACGCGCGCTGAAACGGCAAATACTTTTTCCAGCGCGCCTCTACTCACACAGCCCAATACCCATGAAAACTTTAGCTTCACCAAGCCCCGCTTCCGCTGTTGGCCTTCTGAGGCCGCTTGAAAAGCGCGGACGCAGTTGCGGTTCAATGTCATTGGCACTGAAGCAACTGCTGCTGAGCTCGTGAAACTCGTCTAACCCGCCTCTTCTATATCCTAAGCTGAAATGCGCTGAAATAGAGGAGGTCTTTATTTGGAGCGTAATCGGAGGTTTGACTTGCTTACTTTTACCACTGCCCACCATTAGCTTCATAAGTATACGTCCTTCCATTCGTATTTTACCCTGAGGATTGCCTTTAATATAGAACATGATGCGAGTTGACTTATACTTGGATATCCTTAGCAATCTTGCTTGGGAAGCTTTAAATATAATATAATACATTGATGTGTATGAGCTTCATAATTCTGGCACACCCTATGTACATTTAAAAAATAACAGGCTTCACTTCAAAGAATCACTTTCAAATACTCCTCACTCTGAGAAGGATCTGGTTGGAAAGATATCCATGAGTACTACAAGACCCCCCTGCTTAAATATCGTATTAGTTCTGAAAATCTTGCGCAGAAGATTTATCTATGCTGCGTCCCCACAACAATCCACAACCCAACTTGACAAAAAAGTGCGTCTCCACGTCGAGCCATAATGCGCCAACGGTGAAATAAGAGGAACCGTGATGCTTAGCAACTGCTCTTAGGAAACACCTTCTAGGACATATTGGGAAGGTACCGGCGCATAAGAGAAGTCCTTGAATTTATATGAAAACTTCCTACTGATTCATATTCAAATATCTCAATGCATTTTGGGGAGAATTTTGTTAAGCTCGTTAAGGAAAAATGATGCATATTGATAATGAAACGTATGATTAGAACGTTGAAGCCGTCAGGTCGCTTCATGATTTCTGAATCACCCACGCTGCTTTTTGATATAATTTTTGTCCTCTCTCTGATGAATTTATTCAACAAGAAGCACCGCCTTTACTAACAAATTTCCGACGCATGGGTAGCTGTTCACTGCTTCTACGTAGAACTCCATCAGCTTCCGGTCGAAAAATCGGACGTCGTTTCAAGATGAATTGAAGAGCATAGTAAATGGTAATCCGTTGGCGCGAGATCGGGATGAGGTGGATGTGGGAGGAGTGCCCATCCAAGTTTTCAATTTCTCCTGTTTCCGCAATGTGTAACCCGGCATTATTATGCATAAAGAAGCCTCGATCTTGTTTCAGTTCCAAATTGTTAGCCGCGATCCAGCTGTTGCCAGTACAGCTCCACACTGACTGTTGCATTAGTAGGTATTCTCGATGTACAACTTTTTAGAGTCCACTAACAACACAAAAGAATCTTCCCTGAATAGTAGTCGTGGTAGTCGTGCCTCCAGGTTTGTTGTGACTAAGCCACTGCTGTTTACATAAGAAAATCCACTCGGTCACTATGTTGGAAAGCCAATCGTAGATCGAATGGAAAGTCAAGAGAAACGGTGATGTTGAAGTGTGCACAGCCGCTGTGGGCTCATATGGAATGCAAACTTCATACTTCCAAAATTTTTAGAGCTCACGAAGATGTTCAGTACTGCGCCTTGCCGCGTGCAGAGCGCTCTGCCAAACAGCGGCCGATCTCCCTAGGACCCTGTTCAAGGATTAAGAAAAAACATCGATACCCAGAGTCAAGCGGCAGCCAGAGTGTGGATCATCCACGAGCGAAAAGAAGCCGTCTTGGATCGATTGTACCAATAATTCACAAACGTTCGACAGAGCGTTTTCTTACCCAATGTCTGGTCAGTCTTTTGAGCTTGGCGTTCATAAGATGCAAAAGAGTAAGGCTAGATATGAGTCTACCCGCCAAATTCATGCACTTTTTTGCTTTTCGGTTTGGTCTGGTAGCATCGGGTTTCCTCTACAACAATGCCTGCTCATGCTCAGAGGAACATGAAGCGTCTTGCAGTAACAAATTCTGTCCTGAGGTATGCATCGTCCAAGGTCAGAAACCGTTGGCGCTTAAAAGTCTTTGCTAAGCTACGTGATTTTAAAATCCTGTCGCTGCTCCCTGTGCTTACAACCGCCCACTCCGATAGAACTTAGGGGACCCCAATTTTTTGCTCTTTAGATTGTTAGTAGCCCCCTACACCTTCACGGCTAAAAACATAAAATTCTCTCTTTTTACTCGGCCACAACATTGTCAGGTCCTGGTCCTTGAACGCAACACGTCGTTTCCACGTAACCGCGTCTAGGAGCGCGAGGGATCCCAGCAAACAGTGACCTGTAGCGCCGTTGTGTGTGCGTGTTATTGGCAAAGTTGGAGGGGAAGAGGTATCGCACAACGACCGCTCTTGTTGTAGTTTGAGACCCTTATCCCCACTACTCGAGCTTCGGCAAGAACTACCAAGCATATGTATTGAAGAAAACAGCAAGCATGAAGAACTACATGAGAATCATGATTTTAACTATCAACAGCGGAGAAGCGGTCGTAGTATTTTTCGTCCCACAGGATAGCCTTACTAGGGCCTTCCTGTTGCTCAAGGAGAGCGCCGTCCCACCATGAGCTTGGTCTCTTCGGATTCTTCAGTCACAAGAATCGGTATGGGGTTTCGGCGCAACCCCATTCTGGCGGATATCCCGACTTTGCCTCAGGCTCGTACACCGCGACAAGGTAGAACTGCCAAGCAAATGAACGCGTCGTCTAAGTATCTAAGTAACTAAGTATCTCAGCGGAGATCATCAACGACACTGCTTCTCAATCGCTTGATAAAACGTCAATTCCTGCGCGCAAAAGATTGGATCCCATCTCAAATGGAATCCAAATTTGAAAGATGCGCATCCGAAGTGCAAAAAAAGAACCTCGAATAGGTAATGATATCCTGCTGTTCCCAACTGAAACCGCGGTCTCACGTTGTGAATGGTTCACCATAGACTTGCCGTGAACAAATACTGAAGATCGCAAGAATTTTCCAAACTTTCGAGTCCGCTCGTTTTGACCGTACCAAAGGAGGCCGCTGCAAAAATAAAGTTTCAAAATGCAATGCTTGGAAACTGCAAATGCAGAAGGAAAGTTACAAGCCTTGCACACACCTATTATCGATCACGATAATTTTATCGCCAAGCGACATCTCAAGCATATTTTCCTTTTGCCCTGACTGCGTTGCATCGCGGACCTCTGCTACGTTAAACTCGGCCTAAATATGTGGACCGTGCAGTTACCACTACAGGATTACATCGGATCAAGACCAAGAAATTCTACTGCACCCCTAACAGCAAGGTCCTCAACAGGCTGAACTTAGGCCTGAGGTCTGGGTCGATATTCCAGCACAGAACAACCAAATCATAGATTTGCTGGGAACAAAATCGCGGTTTTTCGAGACGCTCTCCAGCATCAAGGCGCTTTAGGACCTGCAAACAAAATAAATGATTATGTAGGTGAAGAATTTCTGTTACATTTCACAAGGAACTGACATCTATAGCGCGACAACCAATCCATGGATCTTCTCCTAGTGTGAAAATTTCCCATGCTGTAACGCCGAACGCCCACACATCAGAGGCATGTGAGAATTTTCGATGACGTAAAGATTCAGGAGGACACCTAAAAATATCCAATTCTGAGATTATGAAGAAATATACAATTGTATCGCCGTAATACTGTATTAACGAGAACACTTTAAATGTACAGGGTGGTCCAAAATTATGAGGACCAAGACATTGTGTTGTTAAAAACGCATAGTAGCTTGATGGAACAAACCAACTTCTCGCAAGTGCTTGTAACTCTTACCTCAAAGTAATTCTAGAATAGAATTGAGAACTGCCACTTCCCCCGTTAACACGAGCCTTCGGATGAGGGGGATGGCGCGTGCGGTGGCACGCAACTAAGGCGTCCTGGCCTTCTGCTCTGCCTTCTTCAGGCAATCAAACTTTTGTGCTTCATTTATTTGCGCTTGCATCCAGGGTGTGGAATACAGAAATCTTGAGCTATTAGGTGGAAGGTTCCAATGTAACAATTTCTCGAAAGCAGTAAACTCGAAAAATCGCTTTTTAAGGATTTTTCTCTATCTTTGAGTGCACGGTCCTGTAAAAAGTTCTAAGTATAGTACTCAAGAGGCTTTCTATCCACTATAGATGTGGAGTCTTTAGAGTGTCTGGCTGGGTTTTCACATCCATTTTTTCATTTGGGTGTACGAAAGTCGACAAGGGAAGACCTAGTTTCTGCATCTGATAATTATCCTCGTGGTAACTGTAACTTTCGAGTCCCCGAATTTTGCATCTGTGGTGGTTCCCAACTTATTGAGGAGTTGAACTGTTGCTCATAAGGGCTTCTCTGATAAGTTAGACTGCTGCTAGATTTAACGTGCCAGAGCCCCTAGTGAGTTCAGTTTGAGGACTGACTCAAAGTGCAGTAGTTATTTCATTAGTTTTGAGAATTTCATGAAATTTGGTTTCATTAGGAAGAAGACATTGCACCCTCTCACATAGTGCACAGAAAACGAGGTGAAAATGGAGCGATACGGAAAAAAGTGGATATGACTGCGCGCGCACGCGGTCCTCATAATTTTGGACCACCCTGTACTTACCGTCAACAGCTTGCGCTCACTTTAGTTGCGTGACAAGTGCACCACCGCCGCGCGCGAAACTAGAAGGGAAGTGGTTGTTTAGCGAATCCCTTCGCAACAACATTGGCATTGGAAGAGCCCGCAATAGCTACCTACAGTCCACCCATGGCTCCAGCAGACGACTCGTTCGAATCACCCAATTTAGGTTTCGTGATTGCTAAAAGCAACACCTCCAGATCGAACAGGTAGAATAAAAGCGGTCAATATGAAATTGTGGATGTTCAATTGACTGGAAATGATTACCTTACGTACACATTCTCAAAAACATGGCTCTAAATTTCCTTTCGACTAACATAAGCGCAGTGTGTCACTTTCGAAAAGCGGTGAAGCTTTACCCTGCCATTGGCTACCATTCCACGAAGTTCGCTGAGGACATCTAGTACAAATCTGCTAACAACAAGTAACAAGAACCATAGACGCGGTCTAATGATGGCGAATCGATATGACACCTTCAAAAGTCTATTGTCCGGGCGAGAAGCTTGGACAACATTGCTTATCCCATTACTTCTAGTAATTCCTTTAACAAGGCCAAGTGGTCTACCGAACCCCACAGATTCTCAACTATAAGCAGTAATGGAGCAAATACTAAAAGAACCGTTCGAATGTGAAATGTGAACTGACCATGAGAAAGGAACTCGATTCTGTGCGTGCATGACGTACGCTCTTTCATTTTCTTTGAGGCTTCTCATCAATCCAAAGTCACACAGCTTTACTACCTTAAATGAAAAACTTTATAAAATGGGCTATACAAAGCAGAATTGACATACACAACATTGCCGCTTAACAACCAGTCATTGCGGCTCTTGCTATGCATTCCTCTCACGTCTTTACGTTCACAGAAGAACTCATTAGTTTAATGATGCTGCAATACTTACTATGCACCACCATCTCCTAAACACACCTACATCTCCTAAGTGCGAAATTTCAGTCTCCTTTCCACGGGATTCGCTAGCGAACCTATGGCTCCAAATAAAAAGTACTCCACCGCAAAATTGAATGACAGTATGCCTTTTTTCGTACGCTTACGACGCGCGCAGCCCAGGGATCGAATTCTGGGTTGTTGTCGTCCAAGTCGACAGAGCGTCCCATCCCTCCGGGTCGGTTAATTGGCACCAGGCTTGTCTGGCAGGATAAAAACACTGGATTGTACATCGGCTGGTCCCCGCAAGTCATTATATAGGCCAAATCGCATTCATGCGCCACTACGAATGTACAAATGGAAGTAGAACGCGTCCCACATCAAAAGAAGGGATTGATTAACGGCGAATGCTTTATCCTTTTATCTTCTTTTATTTTTCTGTCTCTGAAGGAAGTGGACAATTCCGCTCGAAAATTTTCAGCGAAAGCACTTTATTTAGGCGTTCAGTGGCACCATGCCAATCTATGCTCTAGTCGAGGTGCTCCAAGTTTGCCGTTGCTGCCGACAGCTCGTTAATCACTAACTATCCACTATTAATCTATTTCAAAAAACCAGAACGCGTCGCGTGCAGACCACACACCGCAAGTGAAGACTTCCTATAAAATCTGCCTATTGGGAAATGAGAGTTTTGATCAGTGAGAACTGACAGACTACAATTGAAAAACGCTTATCATGGCAGAAAACATTCACATTTTGTGCAGGCCGTCGTTACTTGTTGTATGTGGTCTGCACTCGACGCGCTCCTGATTTTTTGGAACAGAGTGAGAAATAGTGGGTAGATCGCTTATAGGGAAAGCTTCGCAGCCTGCCCAGCGCACATTTCGTCGCGGAAGCGCCTAACCTCGCTTCCTTGGAAGCCAAGTAACCGCTTCGTGTGGCGTATTTACCTCCCCGATGCGCTCCCTCTTTAGTTGTGCTTCCTTTAAAGTACCAATGAACACTAACCATTAACGGATTTTGAGATCAACGTCATGAGCTTCGAATCCAATGTGAAAGTGCCCAAATGTAAGAATAGCAAGTCACGTGGGTTCACATGGTAGACTACTATTGCGATGGATTTTGAAATGTGCCTCTTAGGTTAGGCGCTTTAGGAAAAACTTCCGTCGTTGTTCGAGTGTATCCCTCGACTTTCCCTTCCTCGTTTTTTCTGCAGTGCCATGTCAATTGGAACGAAACTAGAGTAAAAGGGGGTGAATGAAGGGCTACACGATAGATCAGTAAGTAACCCCAGCATCAAAAAAGTAGAACCATGTCCTAACTTTATCGAAACTTCTGTCACACTATGGAGTCCTACAGCACCAATATGAGATTCAGAATATCGGGGGAGTTTCCTAAGGAACAAGGGCCTCGAATCCATGACGAGGCGTCAATTAGACGAAAGGTGTGCAACGACTAAGAAGCAACTGGCACCTAATGTGTCAAAAAATTCCGTTAGCCATTTGCTCAAGTCATATCCCTATATCTCTGCGAGAGCAAATACTAATTCCTCATGTGTATTCGAAAAAATCGTGCTGAGATGCCTTCGAGATTGTGAATTTTCAACGCTGCATTTCTAGAAACCGTAATTTTCAATTATGATTTGCGATTTTGGGGAATAATGTTGTGCATCACACCCTACACATGATTCTGCATACACGTGGAATTGAGGCAATCCATTGTTTGAAGGCCTGCTAGATCAAAAACAAAAAACTTTCCAAATTTCTGACAGTAACTGTAAGTCATGCATGTATTACAAACCTTCTCGTCTTTACTTAGCAAGATATTTCTGGCCGCCACATCCCTGTGTACGTAATGCTTGCTTTCCAGAAACGTCAGAGCCTTCACCACTTGAACACAGTAGTCTAGTAGAGTGGTGACTAGCGGAACAGGTTTGCTTGTATCTCGTAAGCGGCTGAGCAGTTCACCACCTTCGCAGAGTTCGAAAACCTGAACTGAATCAGCTGCAAATGGGGAAGAATGCACTAAAAAGAACTGAAGTGATGATGGAAATATTTCAGCTTGAAGGAAATTGCAAAAATATTGAGTTGTCCAGAAGAGCTGCGAAGCGCTTCAAATATCACGCGGCCATTTCGCTAACCGATGAGGCTACTACCATTACGCTTTGCATGACATCATAGATGATATGCTTCATTCCTGACATACGAAGAAGAAAGGTCGGCGCTATCGCAGTATAGAGGGGGGGGGGGTATTTCGAGAACACCTGTCCACGTTGTGTTAACGTGGCTAAACGTCTACATGTTTAAACGCGCCAAGAAATGGAGTCCGGATAGAAGAGCGCATGCCTTACGTTACACTAATTAAGAAAGAAAAAACCTTTATGAGCGAAATAATTGAAGTGGTTCGTTTCGCTAAAGACCGCTTTTCAAACGGAAAGAGAACAGAGATGAGGATACAGAGGCACTGTGGTGGTAATGCATTTCAAACCAAGTGAAACTTTCTCGCAAAAATGGGACCAAGTCGTAGGTGGAGAAGAAGGGGCTCCTGATTGGGTGAGCAGTTTTTTAATTCCCCAATTCTACTTCCTTCAAAACATACACGTCTGAATGCGTTCTGAGCTTCAACCACGGATTGTACGTAATTGACCTCGACTTGACCAGAATGCACAAGTTCAGACAAAATTGCCCCCATATATTGCAATAGCCGTGAGGCTATTAGGTGAAGTGATTGAAATGAGTTCATATTTTTAAACGAGTCTTTGGAAGCTGAGCTTGAATCTGCTTTCCTTATCCGCTGGACCTTCTTTAAACGGGATATGAAGCGGGAAAACGCAACGGCAGTGGTCTGCACCGTTGGAAGAGGTCGTGGGTCGCCTCCTTGGGAGCTCCTTCTTTTGCCATTTCAGTAACATGGCGTAAGTAAGGAGTCTTGACACCGTTGGTTGAACAGCACATGCCGCATTCACTCGTATAAAAGATTTGAAAGCAGTTCCTAACAACACTAGATGAAATTTGCTCAGGATTGTACATGGCGCCAGTAGCGCAGGCGGCAGACGTTTTCGGTCAAAACAAATGTGATATTAGTAATAAGAGAGTCGAGCAACCTCTCAGGACGAATTTCCAGCCAATTCTGAAATTTCGACCAACCTCAAGATTGTGCAGTCACAGTGCTTAAAGGCGGAGTTACTATGAAAAGACAACCCTAGTCAATGCTAACGCTCTCCGTCTACTAGAAGGCAGAGCCAGACAACGAGAGAGTGAGCAGGCGGGCAGTAGCGACAGCAGCGCGGGGACGACCATGCGCATATCCTCGCTGTGGATTGCAGTCGGTCCGCACCTTTGGGGGCCGCCTATCTTCCCACTGAATAGATTTCCCCTTCTTTGACCTCCCACCTTATTGTGGAATCCTCTTTCAAGCCAAAGGCAGTGACTCACCCATGGCTGCGCGAACTATGAAGGAATTCGCGCTCAGCTCCCAAAACATATACGAAACGGTATAATTTCTATGCTAGAACCTTGAATGTAGACCTATCCTGTTCACAAATGGAAATTTTCTCATCAGTCATCATATGTGCTCCTTTCGCGGCCCGCGCCAGGAGACCTGAACATTTCCCGACTCTGTTTTCCTGTGCACATCCGAAGGAGCTGTCGTTTTGAGGGCTTAGAGGCTCGCTTTCTAGGCCTGATAGCATAGAATCCTCTGGGCGCGAAATATAGAGAACCAAGAACAACTGTGGTAGCAGGAAAACTTGGAAGCGGCCTATCCTTCCACGCTAACGTTCACTACAAAAAAACTGTATGAGCGAAAGGTACTGTTTGCATCGGAAGCAAACTTCGTCGTAACATCCCATTAAGAGCCAAAATAATTATCTCTAATGAGAGAAGAAATAAACAAAACGAATGTTGCTCGAAGAAAACGGCCCCCACTCAAAACAGTTAGATATGTACCGCTGAACGATTGAACAAATTGACACCGAATATTAACACGTTGGAGACCGCGCACGCTTTGCGGCTGCGTGGGACATCAGTGGATTTTTTGAAATATTATCAAACAAACTGGAAGGAACCTTACAGTATAATACACAAAAAACCTTATCGAATGGAATGGAAAGAAGAACAAAAAACTCATTATTTAATTCCAAAGTCTGGGCTGTAAGCTCCTGTGCGGTCGACGGTCTGCAGCCCGCATCTGGGCTGCACCGGCTCCAAGGGACTAGGCTACAGAAGGGAAGATGCGCGAGAGTAACCTCCGTTACTTAGAATTACTTCAGTGAGGTGAAGGCGAGGGAATCCTGTGAACAGCCAAATTTGGAGGGGGGATATTCGTGAGCGATATGCAAAACGCAGGTCCTAAAATCAAAGGGGCTATACACACCGAAGAGTGCTTACGGACTACTGGATTTTTCCTCAGTGGTCCTGCCGCGATGGCTAGAGCACAGACGATTAGAGAATGCCCTAGGACTAAGGCTTGGAGAGGAGAGGGACCCGCTAGAGAGCGCAGAGGCGGTAAAGGGTTCAGTTCAAGCAGTCCATCGACCCACTGAAAAGAGCCTGCTCTGCCCGGAAGAGAAAAACGCGAAACTGGAAGTCTATTCTCTACAGGAGATTCGGATCGAGAGAGAAATGTACCATATCAATTTATATAGATAAAAAATAATAACTGTGAAAAAAAACAAAACACCAAATTCAAGTGAAGTCACTGAGCACTCACCATCATTGCTGGCTCGCTCACCACACCGTATAATCGAATAAGGTTTGGATGTTGAAGCTTGAGCAGATGACTTGCTTCGGCTTGGAGATCTTCCATAATCGATGGGGACACTTCTCGTAAAATTTTTACAGCAACGTCTACCCCACTTCCGCTGGAGTTGTACCATTTGCCACGCTTGACTATGGAGAACGTTCCCTCTCCGATTGGTTCCATCAGTTTGATCTTAATAGAACACGCCTTAGAAAACCTGTTTGTGTTTTGCAGGCAACATTCAAAATTTGCGCTGAACTTGTACGCTATTTCGCGAAAGCACTGAATGCGCACGCTGCACCTATTGAGCACGAACCGGTCATGGTAGTTGTAACTATGCACCAACACAGCTGGTAAAGTACAACCAGCAGCACGTGGGCCAAATACATCGATTTGATAATGTTCTGGATGTTCTTGCCGAGGCAGCTGTGAAAGCAAAGAATGGTCAATGAAAGCGCGTTGAAAAAGCAATCAAAAGATATTAAAACACCAAAAAGCAGTTCACAGTTACTATTGCAGCATATGGTCGTGTTTTGCATGGAACGTGCACTTCTGCTTTCGCGAATTCGCAACTTCCGCGCAAATCTAAATGCTACAGAGATTACAGCAAAGTACCTGGCTCCTAGAAATGACAGCTTTGTTCGGATCAACTGTACTATGATCAACCAAATTGTCGCCTCTTATATATATCAGTTCAGGGTCGGCATTTCTTCGAGTGATCTGTTTCTTAGCTTCAGATGCTGCACTTCTTAAGCTACGTATTTGAGATGGAGACAAGCCGATAGCCTAAGCGAAACAGAATTGACAGAACGCTGATAATCTAGCCTTCCAGCATGAAAGTTACCTGGAATTCTTTATCTTTTACATGGCTGATATGATCTAACCGTCGTATATGCAATGTAAACACTAGACTTTGTTGAAACCTCTCCACTTGTGCTGTCTTCCAGACCTCCAATAGATCTTTCTCAATAGAGGCCCCCAAGGCAGGGCTCGACATCTGGAAACAGTTCAGGCTATTTGTACAGGCAAGGATACACTTCCATAATACTTATAGCAACAACTCCAGATCGAATCCGAGAGGTAAATGCGTTCGATAATGAAAATGTTGACTGCAAATGAAAAAAAAGGAACAAGGAAAACCACTGATGAAGCTCTGAACAAGGACTCCCTCTCTCCCCACTTGGAATAAGGAGGGGTGGGGCCGGACGAGCTGCCCGGATTAGCTTGTCGCGCAGCTTATTGTTTTTACTGTAATCGCATTTGCACCAATACAAACAAAGAAACATGCATCAATGCAAACAAAGAAATACGAGAATCAATTGTTTTAAGCAAGTAAACCAAACAGAAAGGCGGGAAAATGGTGTTGGCACAAATCCATGTATATTCCAGCGACTTTCCAGGGTGAATTTTCTGTTCAGTGACACTTCTATTCTTGATTACGGCGCATGCATCTTTTTCACCCCTTTTGTAGCAAAAGCATGGATTCGCTGAAACTGCTGCTCTAATATTCATACTGAAATGTTCACATTACAGTCACAAAGCCAAACGCATCTTTTTAGCATCCGAGTCCCCTCACCCTTCAGACTAGATATGCAGCTATACATATCTCAAGAGATGTGCAGGATACTCCGGCAACAAATGCTATCGACACTTTGTCTGGTAATGGTTAGCTCGCACGTGCAGCCAATCACAGCCGTGGGCGTGTCAGTTCTGCAGTTCTGTTAGTATCTGAGATTCGTTAGGCTGATGTCAGAGTCCGCGATCCTTTGCGCGATTTTCGCGAAACCTGCGATGGATCACAGGAGTTGGAAGTGCCCGATGAATACTGCGAGGTGTTGTTTAATCCTGCTGCGAATTCTGCTTGGCAGTAAAGATTGGCCGATGTCAGACTCTGCGATTGGAGCGATTCGGTCAAATGTCAATCGCGCGGACCATCGCGCGATTCGCGGCGATTGACATGAGTCCCATCATGACCATTCGCTCCAATCGCGCGATGGGCGCGATCACTCTCGTGTGGCAGCGCAACGTATCGATCAGAGGTGGGTGCGCCAGCTATTGATCGCTCCCTTGCCACATGGTCTGATGGACTCATGTCAATCGCGACGATCTGTCCGCGCATGGAATCGCGGATGTTCGCGCTGATTGACATTTGACCGATCGCTCCAATCGCAGAGTCTGACATCGGCCATTGGAAGACAATGTTTGTGGTTCTACTTGTTTCATGTTCAATGTCTATTAATTCATTGAAATGCTCTTGAATCGTTCCTATTTTTTCAGGAATCAACCCAAACCAATCACAAAAATTGCAAGTGCCCCATTTGAACAATTGAAAACACTGGATATGAAGTGGAATCATGAACAGTCTCCATTAAACCATAACCATCAAGCAGAAGTGACGGCAGGATTGGAACACCTTACAGTATGGATGGGGCACTTGTGATTTCCGTGACCCGTCGCGCAAATCGCGAAAATCGCAGACTCTGACATCAGCCTTACGGGGTTACAGGACTACGCATTCTTTCTGACCTGAAGAAGGCGTTCGACCGCAACACTATGATGAGCGCTGGGGAAACGAGATGTTCCGGAACAATGATCATTATGGTAAAGAATATGTACGATAGGGCTAAGGCAACAGTATACCCCTTACGGAATAACAAAAGAGGGAAACATTACGGGTAGGGGTCGAAGATCAGCTCCGAGCTCGTGTTTCCTTATAGCGCTAGATATGCTGAAGGAACTCACAGCAGATCACTGAAGATTTCTGTCCACGCTGACGACATAGCCGTGACAGCAGACAGCAGAGGACCTCAGAGCAGGGTTCAAAAATGGCAGGAAGCGCAGAGAATGAGCTCCGGGTAAAAGTGAAGGAGGCCAAGTCTCTCACCTTCAAAGCAACAGTCCCAGTAGGGCTTTTACCTTCAACACTAATGGTGTAGAGCGATGCGCTAGCCCTAGTCAATAGCACAAGAAGTATGACTTTAAAAAAAAAACTCATCTTGGAAAGCCGGTAAAAATGAAGCTAAACGGCTAGGAAGTGGGCGTGGTTGCGAATCGGCTACAATCCCCGTGGCCGACTTCCAATCACGCCCACTTCGATGCCGTTCAGCTCCCTTTCCCGGCATTCCAAGGTGAGCTTTTGTTAAATTATATTCTTATGTTCTTGACGACGGATCGTTCCACGCACTGTCGAAGGTAAAAACCCTGCTGGGACTGTTGCTTTAAGGAGCGCATAAATCTATCACAGACAGACACGATAAGGTTGAAAGAGTGGAAGACTTCGGACAACTGGAAAGCAATCTCGCCGCCGATGACAGTGGGAACCAAACAATAAAAATGTAACCGTGAATAAACGCAGCAGAATCAAGTGAAAGAAATCCAGTGGTATGCTATGTGATCGACAAGCACCAGGGTGCTCGCAAGCAAAACGCACCGAGCAGTGGTAAGGCCGGCAATGCTCCACGGCAACAAGTGCTAGTCCCAAGATAGGGACCACAAAGATGGCTCCATCATTAATCCGTCAAGTTCGGATCATGCCATCTTGGATACTTTTTCCTCGAAAATTCATCAATTCCTGGGAGGATTTGGACTTTAAATACTTGGACGCACCACTGACATTGTCATTCCGTGTTTTAAAGGTTCTGCTGAGGCTTAGGTCTGAACCTTCGATAAATTTCTACAAAATGTCCTGTTTGCGACGAGTATGGAACAAGAAACTCATCAGAAAACTGTGCAATTGTGAGATGGGAGCGGTCCATATTTTTCAGCCACGCTGCACACCCTATCACATCAAGCTATGTTGTGGTGAGCTGCAGCGGGGCGGTTACAGGCCTCCTGACAATACGCAAACGCCATGACGATCACGAGCTCGGTTCACAGATTTCCCTTTGAAAACTGTGCAGATGCTATCACGGAAACCTATCCCTTTCGCAGAAGAAGCCTATTGAGTAACTGCAGCCCACTCAGCTATTCTTGAACAATTCATGAAGGGAAGAATGGAGATGTTCCTGCGGCACTGCTGTATTTTGGAGGTGGAGGGAAAGTGTGATGAGGGTAATCGTCGCGGTGCCGCGGGCTTGTTTGCGTCTTCTTAACAGGATAGTCGGCTCTCAAATTGCAGCCCTTCATCCATGCACATCATGTGCAACCAAGGATAAGTCGCGGAAAATTTTGAGGTGGAGCAGAGGTTGGAAATATAGGGGTCCTTTTCAAACAGTACTTCTTCGAAAACTATTTTGTAACAAATACTGAGTAATAATGCAGCATAACAGGGAATGACTCCTCCACGAAAATGACGAGTAAAGTTTTTAGGACACGCCACTTTTGCACTTTACACGGCAGGGGTCCGTCACGTGCTCTTTGCCAAAGACCCGTAGATGGCGGGCGAAGCCATCGCCAGTCGTGTTGCACTTATGCAAAAACGACTGCACTTCTCAGGCGCGAAAGCGCAGTCGCGTCACTGTCGCGAGTGCACAGTCGCCGAGTCTGACATGCACCCTACCCTGACTCACGCATCCTTTTTTTTGCACCAATAAATTACAATCTCGCTGAGAGGGCGCAACTAACCGCAGAGCTCGACAGTGCCCTTCCCGCGGAAAGAGAAAACCGGGATGAGTCCCTGGGACAGACACGGACACTGCTCGCTTCCGCAGCGTGAACCTTGTCGCTCTCATGGTCAGGAGTGAACCCAAGGCTCCCGCATAGAAGGAGTTTCTTGCACTTGAATAAATTTATTTTCATGTTTAGATCTGAAGCAACAAACCCAGACTGGATCGGTGGAGCAAGAGTGGTCAATAATGAAATTGTGGATGCGGAGTTGACTGAAAATGAAAAAAGAAACAAAGGAAACCGCCGATGGAGCTCTTGATAAATAATAATCCCTCCACTCTCTTGAAATAAGGAGGGTGAAGCAAAATGAGGCCGGAAGAGCTGTCCGAACTAGCTTTCGCCGGCACTTACTGCTGGCACGAAGCCAGCAATAAATGCGGCTGCAATCTCGTATGCACCAATACAAACAATGACACATGCACCAACACAAACAAAGAAATACGATAATAAAACGACATGAGCAATTACAACCAATCAAAAAACAGGGTGCATTCCTTCCGTCGCGGCAAGTTATACACAATCGCGCAAGGATCACGCAGCCAGTCAAGCGGTCGCGCAAGGACCACGCAGCCAGTCAAGCGGTCGCGCAAGGACCACGCTGCCAATCACGCGATCTCCACGGCTAGCAAACGAGTGTATGGCCAAAATGGAGGAGCACCCGAAGTTGGCACCTATTCAACTTCCTCACAGCGGCTTTCTAAGGTGAGCTTTTGCTTCAGCGACGCTTCATATGTTCTCGACTAGGGTGCACGCGTTTCACTCCATTAGTAGCAAAAAACGAGTCCATCAGGGCTGTCGCATTGAGAGTGCACACTTAGGTTGAAGCTGATCACTGAGACCGACTTTATTCATTCTAATATCACCCCTTACTTCACTTGAAGTTAGGAACGATAAATATTCGCAGTACGTGAGGTGCGCTGAAGCGATTCCCTTGCTCATTTCCACCCCACGCCTTGACGTCGTGACGTCACTAGCAAGCCTCGCGTCCGCGCCGGGGAATGGTTCGCTAGAAAAAAGCGACTTTTCTTGCCTTTCGCACGCAAGCTTTTTTGCTGCGGGATCCAAAGGTCCACCTCTGATCAAGAGTGACCCAGGATCCTATCCTTTCCCCGAAGGATGCGTCCCCCACCGCTGATCCATTCCTACGGCTGGGGAAGGGGGGAGGGACAGTGTTGCGTCATAAGACCAGCCACACGACCGTTTCTAGACTCCAGAAAACGCGACCTCTAGAGAAGAGAGTGTCTAAACCAGAGTCAACCCTGCGTTGCGCACTTTTCAACGGCCACGTTGCGCTCGCCCGATTAGACACGTTCTCTCGCGCGAGCATTCACACTCGCATGCTCCAGCCGTCTGTCGTCTCCGCCTACGCGGGGTTGAGGATCTCTCAGCGTG